TCCCCCTCCCCCCTTCCCCTTTTCCCCCCTTTCCCCTCTCCTCTGTCCCTCCTGGTACTGAGAATTTGAATCTAGAACTTTGTACATGTTAGGCAATTGCTCCTCTGAGCTATATCCTCTTTTCTTTCTTTTTCCTCCTCTCCCCTCCCTTCCTTTCCTTTCCTTTCCTTTTTTTTCTTTTCTGAGACAGGCTGTCTACTTGATCAGGTTGACCTTGAACTCACTGTGTAGCCCAGGCAGACCTTGACTTTACAGTTCCCCTGCTTCCACCTCCTGGATAGAGATTACAGATTCGTACTACTGAGCTAGCTCTACCAGAGCTTCCTTCTTTTTTGATTTGTTTGCTTGCTTTTTGTTTTGCTGTTGTTGCTGTCTGAGACTGGATCCCTCTTTGGCCCCACCTGGTCTGGAACTCTGTATGTAGACCAGGCAGGCCTCAATCTCACAGAGATCCACCTGCCTCTGCCTCCCGAGTGCTGGGATTTAAGGCATTCACAACCACTCCTGGCTTTTCCACAAGCTTTTCTTGAGGCAATTCAATAATATATTGATTCTGAGAAAAGCATATTAAATTCAGCACATGACATTATTTGATCTTTTTATGCTTTCTCTGTTTTTTTTCATGTCTAAAAATGTAATGTCAATTAAGTTTTAATAGAATTATGTAACATTGAGAGAAAACTATATTTCACATATAAATATAGGAGCAAATTATAATTAAACATCAACAAAACATTATATTTACAATATTAGTATCATTACTATAAAAGGTTTTATTACCACAGAATATAAATTTGGCACATAATGGTCTAAATATATGTTGAATAAGGCATTTAGCAAAAGTCATATTTTTATACAACAGAGGGCACTTAGACAATGGAAAAATGACCTTGATACTTACCCTCAACGACAAAATGAGTAACAATTCCAATTGCAATTCCTATGATTGCTACAATTGCCAATGTGAAAAGAGAGAGTCGAATAGGGTCCCAAAATTGTTGTCTTCTTTGATACTCGATCTGTGGGTATTCAGTTTCTGAAAATTCAACTTGTCTGTGATAACGAAAATATTAAAAAAAAACAATTTAATAAATTCTATCATGTTGTATTTCATGTCCATTTGCTATGTTCTGCCATCAAAAAATTTTGTGTTAGCTAAATAGCACTGGGTTAGTTAAATCTTGAAAATAACTCTATTTAATTTGCATACCCTTTTCCAACACCACAAGTTTTAGAGTTACACCGCAATGATCCTGATCCTTTTTGTGTTGCACAATGGAAATTTGAAATTTTGGTGGCAAAACATAAGGGCTTAAATTTTAAAAACTGCAATTTATGAATTTTATATGTCTTTTTATAAAAGGTTTTAGAAATTTTCAATTAATTTATTTTATTTTTATGTACGAGTGTTTTCCTGCATGTATGTAAGTGCATCCATGGCATGCAATGCACGCAGAAGTCAGAATAGGGTGTCAGATCCCCTAAAACTGGAGTTAAGAACAGATGTTAGCCACCATGTGGGTGCTGGGAACTGAACTAGGGTCCTTTGCAGGAGCAGCCAGTACTCCTAACTGCTGAGACAGCTCTCCAGCCCCACAAAGGAGATTTTTTAAAACAAGTTTACATATTTTCATCATTTGCAGTTGGTTAGAAATGATAGATTTTAATAGAGCTATAATTTTTAGCTACCTTAAGAAACTTTTAGTGGTTTGTTTTAAAGGTTACAATATTACTTGTGACAATATAATCAGGTTTCTTTGTATTTTATTTGTACCTTTCAGGGAAATCCCACCACCTGTGAGTAGTATTTAATAGAACTCTGGTATTCAAGAGCACCTGTCATTGCCACTGACTTGTCCCTTCTCTAGTGCACTACTTCCCCTATGCATTATTTAGACAATCTTTCTTCAACATGAAAGTTGCTTATTTAAAAAAAAATTACTTATTATTTTTATGTTACATGTTTGAGTGTAATGCCTGCGTGTAGGTAGGTGCACCCCTGTCGTGCAATGCCTGTGGAAGTCAGAAGAGGGCGTGGGATCCCCTGGAACCGGAATCACAGACTGCCGTTAGCCCCCATGAGGATGCTGGGAATCGATCCTGGGTCCTCTGCTAGAATAATCAGTGATCTCAACCACTGAACCATCTCTCCAGCACAAAAGTTGCTTTTATTTAATTTCTAATTCCTAAAATAGTATTCAGTGCTGTAGTATTCTTTACTTTTATAAGAAACCTTTTTATATTGTTAATCTTATTTTAAAAATAAATACTTTAAACTTTCACTGAGATAAGATAAATTCTTTTTGTTAAATTTTTAAAAAAATTTTTATTGAGCTTTTTAAATTTCATATATTTCCCACTCAAATACAGACCCCCTTCCCTATCTATGTCTCCCCCTAGTCCCCCACCTAACCCTATGCACTTTGTCATACAAGCTGAGTCTTATTCATTCAGGTGTTTGTACTGAAATGTCCTTCAGTGTAAATGCATCCACTGGAGTCTAGTCAGCCCATCCAGTGGTTGTATGTAAGTCATACTCTCCCTCACCTAACAGCAATCAGTCTCAAATAGTTCTTAGTCTAGTGCTGGCCGGCCACATATTATTAATGCAGGGGTTTGAAATGAGAATGACCCTTATAGATTACAAGTATTTGGATATTTTGTCCCCATTTGGTGGCACTCTTTGGGGAGGTTTTAGGAGGTGCAGTCTTGCTGGAGGAAGCTAAGGGCAGGCTTTGAGAGTTCTTAGAGTTCTTAAGCCTTGGCAGTTGCTCTCTGCTTCCTGGGCCTGGCTGAAGATATGATTCTTCTGCTTTCTGCTCTGGCCACCTCCTGCTGCCATTTTGGACCTTTGCTCCTGAAATCCTAAGGTCGAATAAAAGCTTCCTTCTGTAAGTTGCTTGCTTTGGTCATGGCGTCTTATCACAACAACAGAAATGTAACTAATATAGTTACCTATGACATTGAAATAATGTTTCATTAACTATCCTAAATCCCTAGAGGTATGAAGTTTTCAATGAATACTCTGCTTATAGGATGCCCACATTCTAAAATAGGAGAAAGAATGGGAACAAGTTGTTGCAGAAAAGTTAAAATAAGTTTATGTAAGAAGAGACAGAGTTGGGCATGGTGGCACACACACCTTTAACACCAGCTCATGGGGGTCGGGGGGAGAAGGCAGGCAGATCTCTGTGATTTTGAGGCCATCCTGGTCTACATAATGAGTGGTTACAGAGAGACCATGTCTCACACAGTCAAGGAAGCAAACAAACAAACCAAAAACAAGGAAGAGGCCGCAGTTAACTTTTTGGAGGGCTTTGACAGATTTTTATTGAGAAGACCACACATTTTGAGAAATACAGAAAAAATAAGAGCAGAGAAAATAGATTGTGAAAAAATGATTTTAAAAGGATAAGATGTATAAAAATATTAATTACTAATAATTTGTATTATAAATAAAAGCAAAACTAGGTTTCTAGCCCTCAAAGAACTTATGTTTGGCACAGTATAGAGATAGCAAGCCTTTCCCAGCATTGCAATACTAGCAGAAAACGTGGTAGAGCAGGTGGAGGCAACCTCAGGTACATGAGGGGCTTATAGCCCAAAGCAGAGGTGAGACTTTTCCCAACAGGAGCAGTGAAACAAACAAAATTGCAATCAAGTAGAGAATGTATAACAATCATACAAGCATTAATAAGAATGGGGATTAGGCATGAAGGTTGGCCAGGTTACAGGTAGTGTTGAAGATCCAAGGGAGAGATGGCGAAGGCCTGGATTAAGGCCATGATGTGGGAAGAAAGGATGAGAGAGCTAGCTCTAGTCCCAGAGCCTTACTGAGTGACTGATTAGGTGTGATATAAAGAAACAATTAGCAATTCACTTGGAAAGTTGTGCCTCCAGGAAAGACTAGGAAGATTAATGGAAAAGCATTTCCAATCACATCAATAATGCTAATACAGAGCAATTTTTCATCCTTATACTTAGGCCTGAATTAGATGGAAACAATTTGTTTTAAGCCTTTCTCTTTGGCTATTTTATTTTTTGCTATTTAGTAATGCCTATTTATGATTTGAATGAAAGCAATCCAGACAAAAGTACTAGCTTTTTTAGTACTATAAACATTGTTTTCTTTCTCATTTTTATTCAAAACCTCTATTTCCAAAATCTCTGAGAAAAAACATTTTTATTTGTGTATGTTTATATATTTAATCCCTTTTCTCTTAAATTGTCTTCATTTTGTTGCTATGTTCAGAGTCCTCCAAAAAAGAAATGAGAAGGGTTAGCTTTTATTAGATTTATGGAGATGGCTGGGCTGAGATGGAATCTCAGTGTAGTTTTATTTTGCATTTTCCTGATAACTAGTGGTGGTGAACATTTTTCACATATTTATTTTCTGTGTGTGCTTCATCTTTTGAGAACTGTCTGTTAACCCATTTCTTGATTAAGTTGTTTGATTTCTTGGATTCCAGATATTTTAGTTCATTGGATGATCTATATATTAATCATCTGTCAGATGTGTAGTTAGCAAATATTTTCTTTCATTCTATGTGCTGATATGTTATATGTATTTTCACATGTGTAACTGATTCAAACTCTAATAAAGATCATTTTACTTGGTGATATTTAAATCTTTAGTGACTTTAAGTATCTCCAAATGTTTCTCCTGATTTGTACATGACATTTGCTCATTTAAATATCATATGAGTTAGATGCTAAATAGAACCCCCTAACACTTTATAGCTCTGTGTTTTACCTCCATTTTAAGTAACAGAATTAAGCATGTTGTTTCTCCAGCAATCTTTTGAAGGGACAGGAATTGTTTATTTTCCTTTTATTTAAGGAAAATGGGGATGAATTTGGGAATATATAAGTACATAGAAAAGAGCAGTCTAACTCAAACATACTCTTCCATTGGAGCCATCTTTTTGAGCTTAAGTGAAAAATGTGCAACTTCTAAATTGATGAACATCTTTTATCACAGAAACAAGCAGAGGCAAATTGAGTTTCTTTTTGGCTTTGCTAATCACCCTGGTTCATTCTGGACCTTTGTTTGCAGTATTTTGTTCTGTTTATGGTTTCATCTTAAAAGTAAGTCTTCAGGTGACCTGTTTATAGAAAAGACTGTTATCATATTTTTCTTAGTGTAATGTACATGTTGGTGTTCTGAGAATTGCTTATCTACTGAAGTAGGGTCCCTTAATATCTCCCACCTCTCAAGATTGTTGGGAGGATTCAATTCTTAGGGATTTTTATACATTTTAAAGAACTATATAAGTAGGACTTGTCAGAGACCATAAATTTCTATTCAGAAAAAGAACATAATTCTATAGTACTTTATATCAAACACTGGTGTCTAGTATGATTCCTGACATAAATATTTTTCCTCTTTGTAGGAATGAATAATGAATTCAAGAAATTTGGTCTAGATTCTATCACCAGAATGAAATTGCTTGTACCCAAAGTCTAAGTAATACTAAGAGTTATTCTTCATACTTAAATCATTATTTTAAAACCTTTAGGAAAGGATAGAAAGTGGCATATAGAAAGATTTCTAAAAGATGTGACAGACTAGCAGCCCTTTGAAGGAAAAAGGGTGTTTTCCAGCAGTATAATACTGATTAAAAACAACTAGCCTCATTTACCCCTTACAAGTAAAATAACTTCTCATTATCATGAAAGTACCTTTTCTATATCATAGAATTTCCTTGGAAGTCAAATTATTGATTTTACTAAGTAATTAATTTTGGTTGACATTGTCCTGTTTTAAAACTAGGCTTATTTGTGATGCTAGAGAGTTCCCGACTAGCCTGGTAAGTGAGTCAAACCTGTTTACTTGGTCTCCATCATCCTGCTCCAGGACTAGGCCCATTCTCACTGCTGAAGAGTTCCTAACTAGCCTGGCCAAGAATGAGCTGCAAGTGGGCTCCAGAACACCTGCTGAGTTAATCAGATACCCAACCACTTGTTTGCCATCTTCTTCTTGCTCAAGAACTAGGCCTTGAAAGCTCTGCTCTAATTCCAGGGTATCGTGGTCAGCTAGCTAGATCCAGTCC